TTGTAATATTTATGGATTCAAAAGAAATTATTACTTTTATCGCCGGACAGTCCACGTCTTTCTTAGTCGTGCCGCTAGATGTCGCATGATCGCGACCGTATCAAGCAATGCTGGCGATCATGCGACATCTAGCAGCACGCATCAAGAAATAACAATCCAAGTATAGTGACAAAGTAGGAACCACTTACCAAGTCTGATAAGGTAGCATTACATACTCTTCAAGCATGTAAATATTATTTTAATTTTTTTCAGGAATAAAATTATTCATATTTTTCTTGCGATTTGTGAGGTGTTTATTGTTCACTTTCTTTATTTAATTCAACTACTAACGGTTTCTGAAGCATCTCTTTATCTGTCAATTCCGTTTTACAATGTTCAGAGCACTGTAATTGTTTCACAGACATCAAGATTCTAAGGGACACTGGCATCACTTTATTTCTCAATAACATTTTTTTTTTAATTTTCAGAGTACTACATTTTTTACAGACATCAAGATTCTAGGGAGATCGTTAGAAATTCCAGCTCATCTCACTCGTAAAGTAACATTTTCTACGTGAATAAAATTAAACATGGGCCCATTCAAGAACACTTAATTGCATTTGTTCATAGGATAAAGTATAAGCTGCTAAGACAGTCAAGAACCTGCTCCCGGCTCTGCAGCCAAAACAGTCAAATCCAATCAAGGCAACTGTTCACGACATTCTTCTTTCTCGCACTTCTTCCGTAAGAAGAGAAAGTTATGTGCACTGGAAAATGGCGAATTTTAGGCAGAAAATTCTTTATTGCTGAGCCCTGGCAACGAAAAAAATGGATATATCCTGTTGCTATATAAATAGTAAATTACTCGTTGGGGGGTAGCAATAAAACATGTTTTGTTGGTTCTTGATACCGAAAAATCGATTGACGGCAAAGCGTGTCTCTTTGTAATCAACGCTGACGCCGAGGCCGTCAGCCGATCTTCACCAAATCGATATTCCCTGAACAATCTAAACGAAGTCGAGGCTTTGAGAGTTTCAAACGGACATTTTGATTTTTGAGGGTACTTTACATGAAGCCTTAAAAACATTTTCAATTTTTTCTCAAGGATGACTTAATATTTTTAAATTAATTTTGTCCACGGATACCGTGGCAAAAATTTTGTGAAAATTGCGTAAGGGCAAACTGCATAAGAGTTAGGGCTTCTTTCGACAAATATAATATTGAAGATAGATTTTTTAAAATGAAATCTGTTCTATAATGACAGATCTGAAAAGAGGGTCAAATTCAATTTGTCAGCTTTCAGAAATTGTGATACCTTGATACCGAAACTCTGATTTTTTTTTTCTTTCCAAAACGTCCGTCCGTTTGTGAAGACCACTAGCTCCTAAACCATAGGTAGGATTCTTTTCAAAATGGATATTCCCCAGTCAATCTGGCTCTACTCGAAGCTTTACGATTTTCAAAAATATTATTTATAATGTAGTGGTACTTTATACATAGCCCTAGGACATTTCCAAAATTTTCTCCAAAATTGCCCCAAAGGTTTTCTTTGATTTTTTGACAGAATAGAGTAAAACACACGTATAAAAATGGCATATCCCATTTATTTTCGAAAATTTCAAAAGTTTGGATTTTTTCACCTTTTTTCTACTATTTTAAAATTGAAGATTAGAGATTTTTCGTTTCAATAAAATGTTTTCCCCGTAGTTAGTTCTTTCATTGTAATGTACATTTTTTAACATTTTAGTAGTGTTCGGGCAATATGCACAATATTAAAAATATAACAAAAATATTTTCATTAAAACGGCCCCAAATTTTTGCTTTAAACTTTTGGTAGAGGCAGTGCTAAATGTATTCTCTCAGATGATATAAACGCCATATTGCTGTATTCTTTTGTGTTTTTTTAATTACATTGTTTAAAGAAAGACTGCTTTGTGATTTAGTAGTGGTTTTAGCTGATTTAATTTAATTTTGGTTTGTTGAATTTTCATTCCTATGTGAGATTTCCAGGTTAAACTTGTATTAAAGTTAGTGTAAACGGTACGGTGATTGGCCACTCCAACTATAACTTGAATTACCGTTACTTCAAACACTTTGTTCAAATATTTTCCTTGTAAATGGTGCAAAGGGAAGCTTTCTGAGTGTCACGTAATATTTACTTTCACCGCAAGAGTGCAACTGTTGGCAAAATGACGGATGTTTATTAACAATGCGATGTGTGTTCATTGTACTCGTACGTAAAGATTTCTTAAGATTTTCTTTACAAGCCTGATATCCAACAGTACCGTTTCTTTAAATTTAGATTTAGATCTAGATTAAGTCAAAAAAACAGTAAAAAATTTATGTGACGTAGGGGGGAAAAGATTGTTGATTACAAATGTACGTAAATCACAATGATACGTCAAAAAATATTTGACAATTATATCGGCTGAAAATGAGAAGCTTCGCTATGCATTAGTGACATAGGGGGTAGGTCAGAGCCTGTATCTTCGATAGTGTGTGAATTGTGTTATTGGCGACTGTCCTAATGATTGTTGTCACATTGTTTTTAATCGTAGTTTATCATATTATTGCACACGGGTGAATCCTGCGTGGCCTGAAATGAGTGATCTCACAATGCCAAAGAAGTCGAAGCCGAGTCTGTTGCAGAAGCCATGTCGAATGCCACCAAATGTGATACAAATAACGAGGCGTTTGTTCGTTCTGCTGCAAAATCGTTTGGGGTTCCCAGAACCAGTTTGCAGTTTGGTTTAAACAATCCAGATCACAGAATAAGCATCAGATCCTGATAAGTTTTATCTTAAGGTGAAAAAGCCAGTCTAGTTAGGTGGGTACTTGAACTAGCCAGGAAAGGTTTCTAAGGAACAAGGAATATATACAGAGTAGTCTTCAACAATTTTTAGATGCTAAATCAAGACCCAATTCATCCAACAACAACCGTCCAGGAGACAAAGACAAGGCTTTTTTAAGAAGTCGTCCCATAATCACTGCACGGACAGGTGAAGCAGTGGCAGTTCGTATGTCAATGAACAAGACATCAGATGTGATTTGAAGAAGTTATAGGGTACATCGGGAGAAGAAACTTGAATTACCAAATAAATGATCCTATAATGTCTATATTGGAAAAGAGTCAAATTTTGAAACATGTTCAATTACAGGAAAGTTTTTAGCTGAAAAGGGAAGTAAGAATGTTTATTCAGTGGAACGAGGAGTTTTTAAAGACAATATGTTCTGCTTTGCAGCAAGTGGACTTGTCACTAGTCCAATGACTATCTATCCATACAAACGAATTCTCGGCTGTCCGGGAGACGCCGCGTCGTTGGCTGGGGTGCCGACGTTTCGCCCGACATTTCGCAGGCTTCCTCAGGGTAGTGAGGAACTCACTACCCGGACAGCCCGGGTTACTCCCGGACAGCCGAGAATTCATGGATTCGAGCCGCGGAAGCTTACGTACATATCCATACAAACTGATATCGAAAAGAATTGCGAAAGTAGATCCAGGCCGCTGGGAGGTTTCAAAAAGTGACAATGGATGTATATAATTTGAATAAATTGAAATATATTCCATTAATTTCAATTAAAATAAATGCAATACACTCCCCGTGATTCTATTCGTAGACGGCCAGGAGCCACATCTCACATACGAATTGAGTCAAATATGCTCAAATTTGAAAATCGCAGAGCTGTAACAGCCCTTATATAAAATATTAGTTATATTAAATCGGTGTCTTACAAATTGTGTATTTTTAGAATAATATAATAATTAATTAAACTGTAATGCTAGTGGTGTCTGTTAAAAATAATGCAGTGGCCAATTCCTGTGTAAAATGTCACTTTCAATTTAAAAAATTAATTAATAAAATAAGGTTCATTATCCGACAGAAATAACGGTTGGGATAAGTAAAAAGAGCATTGATAGTAGAAAATTACTAGCAAATTTTCAAAATTTTACTTTTCGTATGAGTTAATAATGTCACAACTCTCTTAAGAGGCCAATCACTGTGACGTTTACCCTAAATCCTAAATATTTAACAGTTTGGTTGTTTGGGGTCCAGGGTTGTTATTAATTTCGAGTGGGGGGCTAGTGAGAGAATATTTTGGCTGTTGATTTTCACGGGTTGAGTTTGATTTTCCATTCTAAGGACCAATCTTCTATGTTTTTCAAATGAAATTGAATTTTATTGCAAGTGTGATGTAATAAATGGTTGGACATGAAGATGGCAGTCTCCTCACAATTTGGACGATGTGTGTGTGGAGGTATACCAGATGCGTACAGGTTGAAGAGGGGGGGGGGTGAAAGGGGGATCCTTGGGGAAGTCCCGCTTTTATTTTGCGGGGGTTGGAAACGTACTTCTCGATTGTAAATGTGTTATAAAACTTTTTTGTAAGGAGGTAGTTTGGAGATCCTATCGTTTTTAGCTTGTATATTAGGCCCTGATACCAAACTCTGTCGAAAGCCTGTGGAAATATCTAGGAAAGTGGCTAATGTGTGTTGCGTGTTCTAGAAGGCAGTATGAGTCTGTGCGGATATTCGCAGTAACTGGTGTGAAGTGGATAATTTGTTGATGAAGCCGAATTGGTGTTTCAGTATGATCTGAGTTATGTTTAGATAGTTATTAAATCTTTTTAGTATTATTTTTTCTAGAATCGTTGATAGAAATGCTAGGAGACTGATAGATCTGTAGCTTTCTGTGTGTTTATGATTTTTATGAGACTTGAGTATGGCGAATATGATGGAATTTCCCATAATATTGGATAGAATTATTCTCTGAGAATTGAATTATATAAACATATCATTAATGTAAGCTATTTAGGGGTTAGACAAGTTTTTAATATTGTTATTTATTTAGTCGTGGCCAGGAGCTTTTTTAAGAGGGAGATTTTTGATTAAGCTTTTAATTTCATTTGGGGAGGATTATTGTAATTGGGTGCTGACGCTATTTGTCATGTGAGCAGAATGTGTGGGAGTGCTGTGAGTGGGGAACGACTGCGCGTAGTAATCACCAAAGGCTTCTGCCTTCTCCATTGCCACTTACGTTTCACCTGATCGTATGTTTAAAGGCGGAAGAGTTATTTTGTTTTTCAGGATATTTTCGGTAAACTGCCAAAGCAAATTGTGTGTAGTGCTCAATAATTGTATTAGTTTATTTGATGTTGAGTGGTTAAAATCTTTTATTGCGCTTTTAGTTATTGTAGTTTGGTCCTTTTTTATGCGAGGCGATTTTTTTATACTACGGTGTCTTCTAGTTTTGTTCTTAGTTTTAATTAAGTTTAGAATAGACTTGGGCAGTTTGTGTTTGATGTTTCTGTAGTATAGGGTGGTTTGTGATGTAGCAGGGATTTGATTGAGAAGTGTGAGGTTCCTTGTTCGATTGTGGTGTTTTATTAATTGTTATTTTTTAAACGTTTTCTAATTAATGCCTGTTTAATGTGTGGGTGGGGTTGTGAGGCAAAGAAAGTTGTTGAGTTGAGATGATAAAAGGAATATTATCTGAATCCAATTCAAATATGAGAGACTATGGAATTTAACTTGTGTGTTGGTGATTACAATATCCAGAATATCCGGAAATTTGTTTTGGTCGTAGGGAAAGTGTGTTGGTTCTGGAGGAGGAATTAGATATAATTTTAAACCGGTTATTATTTTCGACAATTGTAGGCCTGAGCATTGGAAGTTCTGCAGCCCCAGTTAATGTTTTCGGCATTGAAATCGCCAACAACTATTGTGGTAGATGTTTTGGTGGAATAGTGATCCAAAATTGGTGCCATGAATTTTGGTTTTGGGTTTGTAGGCTACTATGAGGGTTATCATTCAGTTGTATAGCGGAAATTTAATGACTACTGTGTCTAAAACAGGGGTATGGAGTAAGTTACTTTGAATATACGGTACAGATTTTTCTATGACAATTAAAACACCGCCTCCATTTGAGTTTATTCTGTATGACCTATGATTATTATATCCAGGTAAATTGAATTTTTTGTTTGGTTTTAAATGCGTTAGGGTAATGCTTGCTAATTTGATCTCTTCGGATTTTAGGAAATTCGATAATTTTGGTTTGGTAAGAATTTTTAAAAAATATTAAAATTAAATTATATATTTTCTTACAATCATTTTAACACATTAAAATAATTACTTCAAACCTACTTAATATTCAAGACATCAAATATATTATAATAATATGTAAAATATTAAATTCATTTTACGTTGCTGTATTTTTTATTTGACTGCTCAGCTTCGATCAATTCATTGTTTAAAGATATTTTTTAAAATTTGAGAATGATGTTGAGAAATATAAAAGTAATATGCCAATACGAGTTAAGAAAAATAGTGTGTTAATAATTTTGTGTACTTTTATTAAATGTCTTGTGAAAAAATTGAGTACGATTGATAATTTTTTCGGAAAATCTAGTTTAATGGACCATCGATCTTTGTCTCATAACTAATGGAAAAAGATAAAACGCGGTTCTCTTATACTTATTCTCTTAGACTGTACAGGTTTAGATTACGTACCATTTTATCATAAAACTTTTGAATTTAAAAATGACCACTATTTTGTGAAAAAAATAGTGAACATAATGTGGAAAAAGCGAACTGTCCGCTCAAATAGTGAACACCTGGCAACCCTATTTATACGGTCGTCGTTCTAACCACCGCGAAACGAAATGATGCAAGCTCGTAGAGGTAACAATGTTATGGGAAAAGAGCGCAATTCGGAATTTGGAAAGCCTCTCAAACGCAATTCACTGAGGGTTAATGCAGTATTATTCGGTGGTAGAACGTTGTGAAACGTTTTACTGATAAACGCCATAATTCGAGTTACACCTTTCTTCCAGCCAACCCATCAATTGTTAAGATACAATTTTGTTTTTTAATGCAAACGTATCTTCAAATAAGGTCAAGTTGGATTTTTCAAAAATATGAATATTTTTTTGAGTAATTTGGCGTCAAACATAGTCGCCCTCTCATTATGCGATTTGTGAACGTAATATGAGAGGATTTCAGGCAGTTGGATGCTACGTAAGTTAGAATTTGTGTATTATTTGACATATCTTTGTTCGTTTCTTATATTCGAGCTTTTGTTATACTTTTCAAATTAATCTCTTAGAAATCCTTTTAATTATTTTTAATTAATAGCCTCAGGGAATATCAGATTGGAAAACAACAATGGAATTCTGCATCGCGACTCGGCAGCTACATTTCTGGGAATTTCGTTTCAATGTTGGGACATGATGTAGCTACATAAAACATAGTTATAATTTTCCAATTTGTGATGATTTTTACTTGAAAATATTTATTTTTTCACCAACTGTTGAACGATTTGTAATGAGTTTTACTAAAAATGATGAAAGATGTTTGAATTCGGAAAGGAATTGTGGCATAAATATTATTACACAACCATTTCTGAAGGCGAGAAGGTACAGGCTGCTTTCGCAGCACTCGTTCGATAAAGCAGGAACAAGGGAAGAGAAGAGGTCGCCAAAGCGGGCGAAAGGTGATGCGTCCGACAGTGAGCCAGAAGCTCTCCGAAGTTTCTTTTCTCACCGCAGGTGCAGCTTCTGCTGGCTTTTGGACTCTGCGCCAGCGATGACTACGACAATACATACATTGACAGGCTTACTTTCAGCAGTGATTCTGAAGGTGAGCTTTATAATATTTTAATTATACAAGGAGTGTTACGTAACATGATCCAGAAACCTGTTAGACACGATTATTTTACAATATATCATGATACGCCGATTTTTTGGATTGTTTATCAAAATGTGTTTATTGACAAATAATAATTCTTGACAGAGTCGTATAATATGAACAGAAAAGGTAATGTAAATCATATTCCTTTTGTAACTCCAAATTATTAATTTAAAAAAATACGACTTTATTTGTTTTACCTGGCACGGCTAACTCAAGATTTAATACTACAGTAAAGCCTCATTAACACGAATTCCAAAGGTTTCCAATGGTTATGAATTTGAATTTGATATTTGCCAGCTCTAAAAAATCGGCATCACAGGGAAAATTGCAAAAACCCTAAACATTTCGCTGTTTGTAGTTTTCGCTTATATCTTCAAAACTATGCGTTTTATCAAAATAATTGTTATATAAAATATGAAAGTAGACAAAATTTTCTACAAAATGTATATATTAACTTTAAATTTCTGAATGACGGTTGACGCTGCGCCAAATTGAGCCTCGGCCAAAGCGGAGAAGAGCTCTTTCCAGCCATCCCATTTCGCGGCCTAGTTTCACTTCATCATGCTGAAAACGACTGTTGTGAACAAGTATTTGGCATTGTTAAATTATTAACACTCAGATACTCACATAATCAGTATCTGCTCGCGCGAAGAATCTGTAAATCCTTGAAACACAACATAAGTTACACGTACTTAACGTATTTTGGGATATGGAAGAAAATCACCTTCAATCACTTTTATCAATTCTTCAATGAGAAATTGGTATTCCGCGTCACTGTTTCCAAGAAAAATAAAAATAGTTTTCACCGCTGATTGTACATCATCTCTGCGCGGCCTGCGATGGTGTATGTTCCTGCCTTCTTTGGGAATGATGCAGTGCTTTCGTGCACATCAAAGGAGCATGTGCGTCAGCAGCTAGCGAGTCATTTACTGCCTCTATGCAGAAAACAGAATGTCAAAGAAATATAGAAGAATATGTAGAATATAGAAGATTATCATTAATATTTCTCGCGAATCATTAAACAGTTTCTCTAACAGCTAATTTCCTCACAGGATACACTAGATTTCGTTTTGCCTTTTCCTTTGTTTCTTCGCGAAATCTCGTGGTTCCTCCTCCGTGAGACACGATGGCTGGAAAAACTATTCTTCCGCGTTGGCCAGAAGCCCAAAATGTAACAGTTTCTTCTAAAAAGTTTTTCAGAAAATTAAAGTTGAAATATGCATTTTGTAAGGCATTTTATGTGCTTTAATTTTTTAGATAGGAATCGTTTCTATAAACGGATATTTTAGAAGATAATTGCAAAAAAACAACAAAAAGTTCGCCTTGTGTTTAGATTTTCGCTCGTGTCTCTGTTAAGCTGACCCTTTTTAAGGTGGCAAACTTAAAATCCACATCCAGCACCCTCAAAAAGATAGAACCACAGAGAAAAAAATCCGGAAGTTTTTCCTAGATCAGATACCTTTTGACTGGATTATATTGCGAGGAAACGCGCTCTAATGTGCTTATGGATATCGTTCAGACTTTCTCTGCGTTCCTTACCTTTTTCATTGGCTAATGCTGTTGACTTATTAACACAGAAGTGCGGGGGACCATAATGGATGAACAGGGTAGCTTTGGGGATATTCTGCTCTAAACTACGGGGGAAACGGTTAAAGAACGTTACTTCTGAAACACCACAGAGAGATGAATTGCCAAAACCAACGCTGCTGTTCGGAATAGGTGTTTGCGACGCAGTTATCCCTTCCGCTGTCCCACTTCAAAGAGCTACTTTGTGCTGCGGAAAGTGGTGCCAGAGATCGGGAGCCCTCAACGCGCTAGAATGTGCTACGTAGAGTGGCTGAGCCCATGGCGTCAGCGCTCTTGGCCGACGCTACACGCCGCCATGGATTTTGCAGCAATAACATGAGAAGTAACTGATGGTAGCATGTCGTTTGTATCTTATTTCTATGTTGTCTTTTCAACAATCTGCATTTAAATTATATTAGCGGTTGAAATAATAATATTTACAATGACTTTAGAATGTTTGCCATATTAACTGTAAAAATACAAATCGTCAAACCACAAATATATCATTTTTCAAGTTTGCCGCCTTTTTTGTGATCTGTTTATTTGTCTGTTATTGCAATAACATTCACTTTCAGGGTTTTGGCTAACTACAATGATATTTCAACAGCTTCCATTCTTATGACAATAACCGATGCAGGAAGCAACGTGGTTTTAAAGTTTCTCAATTCGTTCTCCTTGCATATTGTGATTTCGTTTTTAAATGATTGGTTTTCGGTCGCGAGCGGATTTAAATTGCGCGCGGCCTTCACGCACCCGTCCGCAAGCGGAATTCTAGGATATTCGGTTCCTCCAGAGGGCGCCGATCTGACTGCGTAGAGCACGGCTTCCACTCCCCGCAAAGACGAGGCGCTTCAGCCGCTCCGTGTGGCTGGGGACGCGAGCGGCGCGGCGCAGCCCAATGCGACGAGCGAGCAACCGGGCCGCCGCCCGCAGATTTTTCCAGGGCGAGCAAGCAGGCCAAATGCCAGGCTTGCCCCACGTGCCCCGGCTGCCTCAAGTGCCTGTCGTGCCCCCCGTGCCAGGCGACCGCGCCCGCCGGCTACAAGCGGCACGGCGACCTCGGCTACTACAAGTTGCACCACCACGACAAGCCCTGGAATGACGCCAAGAACACCTGCGAGCGCGAAGGCGGCTACCTCGTCGTCATCAACTCCAAGGTGAACCCCCGCTCCCCAAGCCCCCCGCTTTCCCTCCAAATCCACTCCCTCTGACCAGCAATCAAACTCCGATCCCCTAGCAGCCCTACGTCAAGCCCTTGGCGTTACTCTATGGTCCCACCACGTACTCAACACCAACCGGATCGCCAACGACCTTTATCCTATCTTGACGAATCCATTTATCCCAATCCCAAACAAAATCCAAAACTCCAATATCTATATCCGCCCACTCCTTTCCTACGCCCATCCCACCTGCTTCACCACATCCTTAACAAACCAAAATAAACTAACCCCCACAAGCCCCCACTTAAACCGCTTGAATGACCTACGACAACACAATTCTTCACATCCTCGCCCACCTTTACAACTCTGCGCTACTTGCACAACAAATACAAAAGTTCGTCACCCACAGGTCATCCGGCGACTCCGTCATTCCATAGCCAGATGGCGAACTGAATCTGACTCATTACGAACCGGACCGAACTATTCCCGTCCCCTCCCACATCCAGCCCCCCATCCTCAAGACCCTAACAAAGCAACCCGTCACTTCACTACCCACGCTCACCATCCCCGTCCCTGAGCGCGGGAGAGGGACCACCCGACAAAATCTACGTGGACGAAGAATCTCCAAGAGGAGACAGGCGCTCCAACAACTAACACCACAAAGTGCTTTCTGGTCTGTTCCTCAGCGGCCAACCTCGCCCCCCGCTCCACACCAACATGGCGGACGAACAAATTTCACATTTTTAAAGACGCTTTACATTTAAATAGACACACTTTATTACATTCGCTATATTAAATCTATATATAGATTTTATTACTGAAAAATTTACGATTTTCTGTGGCAAGTGAACAACCATTGCGTTTATTTAAACATTACAGGTCATAGTAAGAAACCACACTATGTACTTCTGATCTGTCCTAATAGTTTCAAGATAATTTTGGAACATATTTCATTAGTATTCATCTATTAACTCTAAAATGAGTTTACAGGAGGTACTAAATTGTTAAATTGTTACATCGTAAGAGAGCCACAAACCACATTGCCAATTTTAGTAGATTTATTTTTTCAATCGATTTTCGTACCCTCGCTAACACTTCTCGATCTATAATTTTAATTTACCGAGAAAACCGTTAACTTAGACTTCCAAAATATTAAGAGGAGGATGTTAAGCTCTCTTATGGGTTATGTAATTTTTCCCAATATCATATACTTCTATCTTAAAAGTCATTAACATTACATTATTCTCGAGATCATTAAATTACAAAAGGTTCATTTACCACTTTCAGAATCCATTTAGAAAACGCTTCTTCGGTGACATTGGTATACGAAAAATTCAAGGAAATGAGAAGCCCTCTGTTTTTAACAGGGAACAGCTGGGATACAGAGCCGTACAGCCTTCGTACTTGCCAGAACATTCCCTGGCATTTGCTTCTACTACTGCAGGGGGTAGATACTGAGTGGAAAAAAACTCAGTCGCTTAAATAGAATTATTAAACAAAAAGATACTACATAATTAAATAGATCGGTTTCTAGCAATACAGACTAGCGAACTCGCATAAAAAGTTCATTTACAGTTTTCGTTCATAAAACCTTTTGTTTGCGCTTTTCTTCAGCAAGTGGCTAGCCGCCAGGGGCCGCCGCAGTCGCTCCACTTGGAGCGGAGCGATTAGCGACTCCGCGCGTGGCAGCTCCCAAGGTCATTAGTCCCGCAAGTTTAGTGCACTTTTTATCGCGAAAGGTGGCGGCGATCTTCCACCGCTGGAGGCAATATCTGGCGCCGGCCTACGACATCGTGCGGGGTTTTCAACAACCAGGTATCTCCCACCAGCGGGGAATCGCCCCACCCGGGACAAGCTTCCCGACCGGTCTCCCGGCACGTGTGACAGTGCAGTGCATTTCGGGTAAGTGTGTGAGGTTAGGACAAGGGAGGGGAAGGAAAGATCGTGTTCGGTCCGTGGCCCGTTTGTTAGGACACTGCTCCGGCATTAGCCTGGTTATCGGAGAAAACATGAAAAACTACAAATCAGAGCATCCGGCCGCTAAAATTCTCCTCCAGACAGCGGCTGAATTGAACCTAGCCATCTCCTTCTAGTTTGGACAAATGTTACAATTGAGAACATATTATGGGGTTACACATTAGATTAAGTGAGTACACCACAACAAACACTCGAGCAATTCATTCACACAGTTCTACGCACACGCTCGCCCTCACACCCACAACTATCAAATTTTGTTTCAATTTTCTAAGACACCAAATCTTTTTCTCAGGACGAAGCTAAGGTACTGAACAGTATAATGAACAAGTTCGGTTACCGCACTATCCACGCAGGGTTCTATGACCCAATCAAGAACAGGAGATTTGTGACAGTATTAGGTAAGTACGCAGACATAAATATGTTATTCCATATTGAGCTAAACAATCTATTCAAATACAATGATCACGCCATTCAATAACTCATACTTATCACCCGCACTGACTTCTGAAATGTCATTCTTTAATAATATTAAAACTATGGGTATTCACCCTACGTGATAGTGAAAGAGCAATCGTGTTGCAGACAATTATCAATGGTACCTGGAATGGGCGCCGTCCCAGCCCGGCAGCAACCGCAACAGGAACTGCGGCACCTACACCACGCGAGGGCTCAGCACCATCTATTGCACGAGCTCGAGGCCGTTCGTGTGTGAGCTCTACGCCTAAGCGCTTGACCGCAGACGGTGCTCCTCCACCACCCCGGAAAGACACGATTTGGAACACTTTGTAAGAGCTTAGTTACGGAAATAAAAGCATGATTTCCGTATTGTTAATTCTATTTTTTTTTTGCCAGTGGTCAGAATAAATTTTCCTGTAAAGATGTTACCCTTACAAAGTAACTATGTGAAAACGACTGATCTGTTAATTACTAAAGTCTTAGTTGTTGAATATTTGTCTATGTTCGTGGATTCCGAAAAGACGTCATTGGTCGCCACGATTCACGTGGTGCCTCTTCGCACCTCACATTCGACTCGGATCTAAGACACACGATACTTACCTCACAAATGTGCAATGACTTTTTTCTTTCAAAACAGACATTTATAGAGGCACAAATAACACCCTACCCAGTTTCACATCCTTCTCGCGTCGCCCTTTATTTCCACCCGAGGATATGGAAATGAAGCCATACACAAGAGCGCTAAATGCAAACCAACAAGTGAAGATCGGAGCTGACGAGCCATTAGGAGCTGGCACTGAGCCACTCCTCCGCACGAGCCCTCACGACGCACACGCGTCCCCGTCAAACCCACGCACGAGTGATCACGCTCCAGCGGAAGCGGCGGAGGCAGAGCGTCATGCAAACGCCTGTTGCACAGATTTCAATAACGTTTGTGTTTTGTATTTCATGTTTGTAGTTTTATTTGGCTTGTCATAGAACTTCTAGTTTGGGATCGGAAACGTTCCGAACAGTTTCTTACATATGGATAATATCTTCCTAATATTTCGCCTTCCGTTGACTACTCAATTTTATGATCTCGTTATTAATTCCTCGGTAATCCTCATCTTTCCGCCCTTCTGTAAGTAACACACGCACCTCGCTGCGCACTCGATCTCATCACTATTTCCCTATCAATCTATTTTCTTCGTTCTTCACTATTTCTCGATCAATACAGGGTTTATTGACATTTTCCTCATCTTAACACGCAGCGAGTAAACATTTAGTAATCGGTGTATCCTTTCCTAGAAACGATCGTATTCCTTGGACATCCTTTCAGATATATCTGATTCCAGGTCTGTCACGATCAAATTGTAATCAGCTTTGTAGTAATTCAACCGTTGCTGCTTCAGCCCTGGAACTGTACGGGAGATTTCTATTTGCAAAGATGTTATCATCAGTGTGTCACACAAACCAATATTTGGTCCATAGTAATAACACAGGCCTGCAAAATTTAGCTTATCGATAATTGGTTAAAAAATTCATCTGTAGTATACAGAATTACGTATGCTGATTTCAAATATGTCTCCATGCTTTTATATCACGCAAGGTTTTTCCACAAAGTGTATTTGCGTATATGGAAAAATATTAAATCAATTCAGTTGTTATAGAAACATTTGCAAAAGAAAATTAAGTAGATCACATGCAAAATTTTATTTGCAGAAAATCACTCAAAGATTTAACTAGCTTTAAACTTTGTTGTGCATTTTTCGTTTCTCATCATACCTCCGTTTGCCACTTCTCCTTTTGCATTGTAATGGGACGGTCGCACGCGTGAGGTGGCGACGAGTGTTTTATAAAATTATATTCAGTATAACGTTATATAAGCAGTATAACAGCGAATATTTCATATGTCGACATTCTTAAAAAGCTATGGTTACTGCCCAATGAGGATGTTGGTGGCAATGAAGATTTTTACTGCTGATGTAACAGTATTTCACGTTGATCATGTTCTACGAGAGTACAACTCTTTGTAAACGAAAAAATGCAGTACAATTGATTACACACATTGATTACAATATACTTTGTTGCATGATTTTTTTTATTTTTACTTGCAATAGATGTACTACATTAGATTGATTTATTTTAATACGGGAAAACAATTAAAAAAATTCAGAAGTAAATATTGCTCGAGAAAAACACATCTAACTTATTTTACTTTGAGTTACATCATGCAGTAAGGATATAAAATTCTGACTTCCTGCATATTGTTTTTGGATTACATATAGGATAGAAAAAAATCATTTTAAAAATCGAAATGGAAGAAACATTATTTTTTATGGAATATATTATAATAAATTTAAATGAGAATATTTAAATATTTTAAAGCGATTTCATGTAATTGTGGAATTGAATGAAACATTGTTTTCCGCATGGATTGATTTTACCCGTTCGCAGGTCTCCTCTGTTGATTCAGGTATCTCCGATGTTTCAGTATCAACCAAAGTTTACACTAGTGGTGCTACAGAATGGAACAGACTTCCCCGTATGTTTTCTACTTCCTATGGTCTCGGTTAGCTATTCGAACTTGCCATATACTTTTGCCTGCTGACATCTATCGCTGCACAAAGTACTTTTTTTTTAATTTTCTTAATTTTTCGGTTTTTGTGAGTTCTTTCATTAAAGTGATGTACATTTTTTGTAAAATTTGTAGTCTTAACGCAATATTGCGAGCAATATGTGCAATGTTACAAAATAAAAAACAAGATTTTCTCAAAAACGGTTCCAAATTTTCTTTAAACTTTTGGTAGGGATAGTGCTGAATGTACTCTATAAGTTGACCAAATGCCATATTGCTGTATTCTTTTGTTTTCTTCAAAAATTACAAAAATATTTCTTTTGACTTCTCTCACGTCGTTAATATTTACACTAGCGGCATTTTGTTCACATATTTATATTTATGACTACATGTGCTTGAAATAATGTTAAAGTTTCATGAAAACGCAACCATTTTCTGTGAGATTTTTTTCATCAAACTTTTCGAAGGGATTGTGCTAATTTAATATGTTGTGAAGTTTATTTCGGGGTATTGCATTTGTGATTGGAAGTGATTGAAATGTCTTCCTATGAAATTTTTCGGGAACTCAATAGTTTACTGTGAAAAGGGTTTCAAATTTCCCATTTACAGTAACGCTTAAAACCCAATTCCTTAATACGGGCTCCAAATGTTTCAAAGAAAATTGACAGTTAGGGCGAGGTTTTACTGTTCTTTAATATTCTAAGAATAAAGTTTCCGTTCTACTATTATGAAACCGAAAAATTAAGAAAATGTCCCTTGGGCGGCGATAGATGGCAGCCTGAGCCTGTCGACAACGCTGCTCTGAAGCCGTTCGCCGGAAGCGCGTTCTGATCGGAGACGAGCGGGGAACATCCGCTTCAGATCCGATCATCAAAAATGAATAATTAAAATACGAGAACTCAACAAAATTACTTGTTTTGGAAAGATTTAGTACAAAAATATTGAAATAGGCACCAACATTTTGGTCACCGTAAATAGTACAATATCAGATATTTCAAATTGCTTCCGCAATAGCAAATTAATAGTAAATGAAAAGAAAACGGTTTCAATGTAGTTTTCCGTTTCAAATAATCAGCTCTGTACTCCATTGGAAAATGAACGGTGTGCCATTGACTGATGTTAGGGAACGAAATTTTTAGGCCTTTCCATTCAGTCAAAACTTAAATGGAACGTCCATTTAAATGAAATACAAAAACATTAAAAGTTCTTTATGCTACGCTTTCAGAATTCTCTCAAATTCAGTCAGCCACCACACTGCTCGTTGTGTATGTTTCGCGAATGCTCATTCCCGCCTGAGATATGGCATAATATTCTGGGGGAAAACATCTTATAGCTCCGAGAGGTCTAATGCCAGAAAATAATTATACGAATAATAAACAAATCCCACCCACGTGATCCTTGAAAGCCCCTTTTTTTCAATGTAGGTATATTACCATTACCTTGCTGCTTGTTATGTCAATCGGTGGTTTTTCTTAAAAATTACTTAAGTGTGGGAATATATTTTCAGTAAATGCTGAAAATTCGAAGTAGCCACATTCATCAGGTTACAGTATCAACAGCTCGCTACAAAAAATTCACACATAATACATGCACATCATTTTACAACACCTGACCAGATAACATTAATCGATTAAATTCGATACAAAAGTTTAAGTCCCAAGTAAAATCTTTTCTGCTGCACAACTGTTTATATACAATTAGAGACTACACCCAGCATCCAAAAGGAAAGTAATATTAATTTTAGGAAGGCATTTAGTGTATTATTTACCATTTGGATTGTATAATTCTAAAGAACTTGTAACAAGTATTGGACCTCAACTTCTGGGTCAATGACCCCCATCTCGACGAGGTTTTCGTCGAGTTCCCTGATCTTTGAGCAAATGCTCCTTGTTTTGCTTTCGAACCTAAATGTAACTTCAATTTAACTTCTCTCCATAGCATGTCACACACATTTTTTAACTGTTTTTGATGTAAATAAATTTAAAAAATATTAGATACCTCCAGTAGATTATTTTTTTTTTCCATGATTAGAAAACGTGAGAAAATATTTTTCACACTCTCCTAAAGGAATTAAATAGTCATTTGCGCTCAAATGCAAGATATAGTGATGACATTGCACCAGCCCCAGGCGTCGTTGCACGCCAGAGGACACCGCCACTTCACCCCTCCCACGCTCAGCTTTGAAAATCGAAATTGCAGAAAATAAGGGAAATGTTACCAGATGGTTTTAATAAAAGTTCAGTTTTGTATTCATGGCATCATGATTCATGATTGTAATGCGTTTGTAAGTGCGGCAAATATTACTCTAAGTGAATGTGACAAATTGATCTAATAGATCAAATCAAGTAAGACATTTAAACATTAACAAATGCTTCAACATCATCGCCTTCTGGGGTCAGGTCAACCAGAGTATGGTCAGTTTCTTAACATGGAAACAAATGAGTTAATTTTATTTCAAAAAGTAGACATTTTATTTTCTCTCAACACAAAATAATTAATATATTTACACATTTCTGTCAATATTATAACATGAAAATATATTAATTTTTCGAACATGTACACCAATCAGGAGTTATCCCAGCATCACGACAAGATCTATCACCAAAATCCCCTGAAAACAAACTCTTGCACTTAGGACAAGCAATTGACACATTTCCACCTGGAGCTATGGAGTTCATACCCCTCGCTAACACATCTTTTAAAGTGACATACAGGTCGTAGGTGCAGGTTAATCGATTTCTATTCATTTGTAGATTTCGGTAAGCTTCGGGATATTTATTTTTAAACGAATCTGGAAGATGTATATAAACAAATGGCAATCTATTTTCCAACCAACCCACATGCGTTTCGAGTATCTTTGAGAAACGCATTCCATGGTCACTAAAAAATACAACTATAGTGTTGTTGTACGCGCCAGAATCATCCAATCTTTGAAAAAATTCAACAGTTTTCTGGTCCATGGCTCGAGGTCCATTTAAATCATTATGGCTAAAAGAACTCAAAATGAAGAGTGCAAAATAAAAATAATTTTTGAAAATTGACACAAATCGTAAAGCATAATTGAAAATATGATCTGCTGTTAAAATTGGCCCCGAACACACGTTCCAAACATCCTTAAATTTAGCCCTAAGTCTCTCAGATGCAGCGAGCATGTAAGGTCGGAAATAATAATCTGTTGGTTGTTTAAAAAAACCTCCCTTTAAATACTGAAATGTACCATATTCAGGTACATCTTCAGCATAAGCCGACACATAATTGTGGTTATGAAATTCTTTCCAAAGGAAAGGACAATCATCAAAATTGATGCCTTTCGTTGAGCAGCGCCCCTTTTCCGACTTAGTCACGCCAGTCAAAAGAGCCAAAATGTTTGGAAAAGTGTTATCTCCAACTTTGTTGTAACCTTGCAAATCCACGTATCCAGCACGCTTCAGGTAATCAACTGTTTTGGGCATTGTTCTCAAGAGATTCAGGCGAGACATGGAATCGTACGCCACCAAGAGGACGTTGAGCTTGTCATCGTCGTCGGGGGACTTCCGTTCTCTTCTCTTTTTAGCAACACTGGGCTTTATGGGAACCAAGCCATGCATATTCACATACACTCTCTCTATTTTGTAGCCTTTTTTGTAACACTGGGATAGAACAAATTCTTCTTGAGGTTTAAGTTTTACGTAGACTCTAAAGATCTTGCATGAGCCGATTCTGAAAAATAAAATTGAGATTATTTGTTTGGGATTTAGCGAATACAGTGTGTAAGTTTACATAGTGTGATTCAATGTAATACTATTTAGTGCTATTGCAACGTCATGGTCGTCACATGTCTCCCTCATCCTCCACGCGCGAGAATTAAACAAGATCTAGGCCTGAGGGTAGCGGCAGCACCTACCCGTAAAGGGGAAATCGACCGAAAGAGGTAAATACTTATTGGGAAAGAAGGAAAAAGAGAAGAGACGAGAGAGGGAAAAGGGAAAGAGTAAAAACCAGAAAGACAAAGAAAGTGAAAAAGAGAAGAGAAAGAGGGAAAATAGAAAGATAGGGAAAGTGTGAAAGAGAAGAGAGGAAAAGAAACGGAAAGACAGAACAGGAAAAAATGGAAAGAGAGGGGAAATGAGAAAGAGAAGAGGCAAAGAGAGGGAAAGAGAGAAGGAGGAAAGACGGAAAGAAAGGGGAAATGAGAAAGATAAGAGAGAGAGATGGAGAGAGAGAGAGAGAGAGTGAGTGAGAGAGCGAGAGTAACAACGCATGCTAGATTTAGTTAGTTTGAATATAATTCTTGTTTTTCATTTCACTAATAAGTGAGTCTTGCACGGAAACTGTACTGAAATTTCTCGTGGCGTAATCTCCCTTATTTTTTGAGTGAATGTTGGTCACCCTACTTGTAGTAGTCGGGGTGGTACGGCGAAATGAAGCGGGTGACGCTGCTGTAGCAGCACGTGAGCCTGTAGCCTCGACGCGCGTACTGCGGCACCAGCGCCATGTTCATGTGCAGCGCGTGTCCTTGGCTGTGCGACGTCACGAAGGTAAGCGGCTTGCGGCTGCTGCACACGATGGGAGCGACAGGCTTCAGGTACTGCAGGATGGACTTGTCATGAGGGTCCACGTCTGGTATCTCGCAGCTGGGGCTCCACACTAGGTAGCCGGTCTTCTCTGCGAACACGGAAAGCCGAGCTTTAAAGCCGAGCCCTGCATGGACTGCACCGAGCGAAAGCTCGAGCGCCCCCTCGATGCTTTGCCCTGCGTAGGCCACTGCGGCAGCCGCGTGGAAAGCTCAGCGCGTTCACTTCTATAGGAATGCTATATAGTATATTGTGTTTATGTACGATGGAATTTAATTAGTACCTCAGAAATATAATGAAACCAATATAAATTAATACAATTTAATGAAGAAATAAATTTTCATGAAGAATGAAGAAATAAATTTTCATGAAGAATGTTATTTTCAGGGCATCCGTAACTTCCTTCCTCAATTAACCACTCACAAATGTATAGTGGTATTCAATCTTGTCCCAACGTTCCCTTCTATTTTTCGAATCTTCAATGAAACATCCCGTTATGTCGCTATTCGGCATCGTTGAAATATGTATTTCAAGATCAAAACAGCGAACCCGCTCCGCCGCAGAGAAGCCACTAAGCGCCCGAAACGAGTCTCTTGGAGCAGCGAGACTGCGCCAGGCGCGTCGAAATGTGCCCGTGGGGGAAGCCCAGCGCAGGTCACTACCCCTGACTCCCATCTCTTCCTCCATCCAAGTGCTTACCATTTTCTCTAAAAATAAATGTTACAAACATATCGTGTACAATTTTTGAAGAAAAAAACTAGTATTTTCTGTAATTTCTGCTTTCAGTTAATGCAATTTATAAAAGAAGATTCTAAAATGCTGTTTCAGTTTTTCTTGATTAATTTCAGAATTTATCGAAATTTGCGCGAGTTAGAAATAAGAGACAGATATACTTGTTCGCATGTCCCCGTGCAGAAAGAAGTTCGCTGATTACGAGCAACACGTTCGGGGTGTGGGGTGCACTAACACTGCGTCGCCGTTACAAATAATGCGAGAAAATAGGTTTTCCACTAGTTTACTTACTCGTCTTACTACGTACTTACATAGTACTGTAATGCAGCGTCGCAAAACTGCGATTTTTTGACAGAAAACCACGTAGTGTTGGTCTCTGGTAAGAAAACAAAAAGTCCTGCTCCGTTGTTGGCTCGACAGCCTGAACGCCGACCCTCAGCCTTTGGGCGAAATGCCCCGCTCTCGCCGCTCTCTGTTGCCAGAGCTCTGCGGGCAGCGCCCCCCGCGCTGGCCCAACGCAAGGAATGGCGGCCGATGGCAGACGGCTCGATCACGCGACAAGAAGAAATAGAGGACGCGCTTTTTCGATTTGTGGCACCCCCGCGCGAGCGCGCCCGCCGCCGGTCAGACAGTTTTGTTAGGAATTGTTTTGTACCGACAAGTGGCTAGCCGACACGGCTGCCAAGTGTTGACGTCAGGAACTCGGAAGGCGCAGGCAACCTCCGACGGTGCGAATGCGTCTTTTTGTTGTTGTGCGTGCGATCGTTGCCAGCCGTCGCACGGGGACACAAGGACATTTTGGAAGCAGCGAATCGAAAGTAGCGTCACCCAAGTACGAATTTGATTGGATCAGGACCTTTTGCTCGTCACAGTTACTATATACTCGTTAGGTCGAATTTTCCCCGGCTCAAGAAGCTTCCTGTTGATGCGCAGTGATTACTCTTTGGAATGGCATTCAATATGAGAGGGACGCTATGAAGAGACTGGTAAGTTGCAGCGAGGGAGGGACGGACGCCCGACACAGCACAAAACGTTTCAAGAAAAAATTGTCATTCAAATTGCCTTTGTTACCTAAAATGACTAGAAAAGTACTCATTTCTTAAAAGGGCGAAGGCGGGGGCGAAAGCAAAGGGGATGAGCAAGGGCAGGCCCTCAGCGCGGGCGAGGAAGAGGGCGAGAGTGGAGGTGAGGGCGAGGGCGAGTGTGAAGGCGAGGGCGAAAGGGAGGGCCGGGGGGGCGAGGGGCGGGGGTGAAAAGGCGAGGGGCGAGGGGCTGGGGTGACAGGGGGCGAGGAATTGGGGGGCGCATAGGCAAAAAAAGGCCGGAGGAGGCCCCGTTTTTTTTTCGGGGGCGAAAATCGGGGGGCCCGGGGGAACGAGGTCCGAAAGGCGAGGGCAGGGGATAAGGCGGGGGGGGAAAAAAGGGCGAAAGGGCAGGGCCCCGGAGGGGCAGGGGCGAAGGCGAGGGCGAAAGGGCGGGGGGCCGAAGCGAGGTGGGGCCGGCGGGTTGGGGGGCCGAGGGCGCCCGGGGGCCGAGGGCGAAATGGCGAGGGCGAGGGCCGGGGCGAAAGGCGAGGCAGTGCGCCGAAAGGCGAGAGCAGGGGCGAAGGCGAGGATTGGGGCGCAGGGCGGGGGGCGAGGGCGGGGGTCGAGGGCCGACAGGCGCTGGCGAGGGCGCTGGCGAGGGCGGGGGCGAAGGCGAGGGTGGGGGCGAGGGCGAGGGCGAGGGGCACCACCTACTGAGTGGGAGTGGCGCAGTGGCATTTGTGCCGCCGTCCGCCTGCGTCGCCTGCGAGCAGAGGAGCAGCACGGCGGCGGCCACCCACCCGCGCACGGACCGCCTCGCGCCGCCGGCGCCTGCAACAGCACGTCAAATACCCCTGATTGGAAAAAAATAGTTTTAGGAAATTTCCGTCTATAATATTAAAATAGTATTTTCAACCACGATATTCGGTGTAATAAGTTTTTGGGCAACACATTTCCAAACGCTTTTAATAAAATAATATTCTTCGAGCTTCCGGAATGTGCTGAAGAAAGAAGCTCTTTGAAATATCAGGTATTGTATATATTTTTGTGATATTATTATGAATCAACATTCAACCAGCTACTTATTTTCCTGGAAAAGAGATTCTCTTCAAGAAATAAAAGAACAGAAGGGACGGTTGCTATTGAATCAAGAAAGACAGCACTGCTTAATTCTTTCGCAGTGGGATAACTTTCCATTTCTACTTCTTTCGTCAATTCCTGAAAGTTATATAAACGTTTACATGAGCAATGTGTAGTCGTGTAGCAAGGAACAACGTTAAGGTAATTCTCTTTTTTTATAAGAAAACGGGCATATTCATATTTTATATAATAAGTATAAACTATTCTGAAATTGTCTGCTTGTATGTACACGAGTAATTATTGCATTTATCACAACAATGTAAGACAACGATTAGAAAAACAAAATGGTTTTCAGTATCGGACATTCTAAAATAAGCTTATAGTCCATCAGAGGAGAAAAAAGTTGCTGTATACTTCGCTTGTCTGTCCCCTGCGCACACCCATAGTACAATTTAGGAAATGCAATCCTTCATTCCCCTTGACACTGGGAACGATTTTTTTGTGATATCAATTGTAAATGTTGAAACTGAATGTTTAATAAAATACCAGTGCAGAAACTAAATGCACATGATAATATAATTTGGTTCATTCACAATAATCTATTCCCAGCTGTAGTAAAGTTTCGATCTAGTGGCATTTTTTTTCTATTAAATTGATTCCTTCAGATTTTTCTTTCGCTTGTGCGCACTTGAAACAATAACGAAATATCTAATTTCGCAGTTTCGTATTTGTTGCCATCCTTACTAATTACAACTGTATATTTAATTATTACTTAAGTTTCAATCAAGATTATCTTCTCGATAATGTTCAAACCATTATTAAATTGCACACAAGTCATTCTATAGTATATACCATATGCTTCAAATTATATCATTTACCATATTTTTACACACTTTTTATCTTTTTTCATAAATATTTCAATTTTCTTCACCCACGTAAATTTTATATTCTCTCTATTTTATTTTTCAATTTAACAAGCAAACTGATATTATATCTATACCAGGTATATGAATTAATAAAATTGAATTTTTATGTAAATTTTACTAAAAGTTTTAAAGGTAGAAAACATAGTGACAATGTGTTTTGCAGATAGTCTTAAAGCTGTATATAGTCTAAAGGTTTCGATATTGTGTATCTTACGTTTAGATTATATCCTGAACATGAACAGAAATGTTTGAATGTAGAGAGATACGAAAGACATTAGATATTCATAGAACATTTTAATAAAATGATTTAAACAAAAGTATATGTTTTTGTTTAATAGTTGAGCGATTTAATAGTTATCATAATGACTATTAAACCATATCTGGACTTTAGATTTATGGAAAGATCTTATGAAATGGAGTCTTAATGACAGTCTGATTAATAATTGACATTTTCCTTTTCTTAATTCCTTAAAACTTCATATATTTCACTTAGAAATGTTATAAACTTGAAGTTCCCAAGCCATTTTGTAAATAATCCATCATAAGTCAGTGTAACAACCTGTTGTTATTAACATTCATATTTTCAAGAATATTTTAATTGGTGTTTGCAGGCTTTCCAAACACATTACCATTACTTTACACATGTCAACCACTCCGTTTGTACAGTCTTTATTACCATTCGCTGTTTTTTCGTTTATGAAGGGCTGTAGCACAAACACTTTTATAGAGCATTGAAAAAGTGAAACAAAAAAAAATGTTACATTAGACACAGCTAAGAATTTCATTATGATTTTCACTACGACTTTCAGTTCATGTGGATAACTTAATAAACGAGATATTTTGAGAACTGCAGAAACGCGATAAATAAAATAATTTTATTCTTATGCTCGTTTTCATCGGAGAATATGTTGTCACTATACACCAGTCGGACTGAATTACTTATTAACACAAGAACTCCACGATGTCACACAGAATCACTTCGAAAACATTTTCACAACGTATATTGAAAAAAGAATTAATATAACTTTGAAGCTCAAAATTAGAGTTCAAAGAAAACCAGCGCAGGGTGAAACGCTCGCCAAACAAGACACGACTCGGATGTAGAAATTATTATACATAGAATGTAATTTGTTTATTATTATTGTTCATTGAACGATCATCGCCGATTCTTTGAACTAATTTTTGAGGCCCCTCTTGACAAAAAATAAAATAACAGAAGAAGACTACGTACGGACTGCTCTGTCTGGAGACGCCATCAGCAATGACAGTGAGAGTTAGAACGGAAGAGTAACATCTCTAGTAACAGTGCCGCCAACCTAACTATATAATAAAATTTGCATTTCATGAAATTAACATGTAATTCAGGATAGAGCGAAGCATATTTTTTTAATACGGCTCAAATAGATGTCTCTAATTTTATTCCGCAAAAGTTAGGTCAGCGCATGAAAATTTATGACAGTCTCGAAAGAGGATCGATAACCTGGGATTGGCAACCTTCAAAATGTTATGTATTCAAGACAACTACCAATACTTTTGCGTGAGGAGGGGTCTTACTTTTACGAGTAATTTATTGGACACCATTTGACAAAAAACCTAGTCAAATTGCTTGGCATATAATAGACAGTGCTACAGAAGTGGTACAGAATGGCACAGACTTTCCCGTATTAGTTTTCCGTTTTCTTTCGCCTCGGCTAGCTATTAGAACTTGCCATTACTCTTGTCTAGTACCATCAATCGCCGCCAAAAGTGCATTTTTTATATTTTCTTAATTTTTCGTCTACCTAATAGTAGAATGGAAATATTTTAAGAACATTAAAGAACAATAAAACCTCGAACTAAATGGCAATTTCCTTTGAAAAATTGAGATTTGGTTTTTAAAAAATGTCGTTTAGACGCAACTGTAAATTTGGAATTTGAACCTCTTTTCAAAGAAAATTATTGAGTTTTCGAAAATTTCGTGTGCCTTCATTTCGAGCACTTCCAGTCTCAAATGCAATAGTGTCGTTGGAAATGTGCAAATTAAACGCATGAGAGAAAGTCGAAAGAAAAAAAATTGGAACAGTTTTAAGAAAATACCGTCTTTTTACATTTTTGTAATTTTTGAAAAAACAAAAGAATAGAGCAATATGACATTTATGTCATCTTATAGTTCGTACTTAATACTATCCCTAATAAAGCAAAGAAAACATTTGGATCCATTTTTGAGAATACTTTGTTATTGTCATTTTTTTAAATATTGTAAATATTGAACGCAATTTTTTTCGAAAAGTACTAAAATTTTCAAAAAGTGTACAGGATCTTAAAGAAAGAATTCACAATGTATAACAAATTTGATTTGAAGAAAAATTCTATTTTCAATTTTGTAGTTGTAGAACGACGCCTGAAAATGTTTAAATTTTCGAAAATTTAGAACTAAACCTGAAAATCGGACTTTTGCCTCCTTTATCGGTGTATTTTACTCTATTTTTACAAGAAGTTTAAAGAAAAAAATTGGAGCCATTCTTTAGAAAATTTTTAAAATTAGCGGGACACTTTGTGTGCAGTACCACCAAATTTTAAAAAAAAATGTTTTTCAACGTCTCAAAGATTCATCTCGAGCCAGATGGACAGGGTTTTCAATTTGGCAAAAATCCTACGTATGGTTTAGGCGCTAGTGTTTACAGACGGACAGACAGACGGACGTTTTGAAAAGAACCACTTTTTCGGTGCTAGGGGACCCCAAAACGTGTTTTTCCGTCGTAATCACTAAGTCTATTTTCCGCAGCATTTCATAAATTTCCCTATACTACATATATTTCTCCGTATATGCGTACATATACTGGAAAATAAAAACTCAGGCGGCTTTCGATGATGATTCCACGGACACCACACAGATTAAGACATCTGACGGGCTGTACACGTCAAGTTATAAAAAAGTTGTATCCTGTGCATTCTTCCTTCTCTCAGAACTTGCCCCAACCAGTTTTGAGTGAAAATTGTGTTAATTTCCAGAGCAAATTACGAATAAACGCGCTTTACGTAATTACGCGTTATTTGAAAAAAATACATTTTTAGTGTTAATTCTGTACAAGATTTTGAGGTGAAAATTTCGTTCTTCAATTTCTAAGTTTCAGTTTTTCTTGCAATTTTCGAAGAAAAAAAAACTGTGAAAAAAAACGGTCATAGGACTAGCACCATATTTTTACCGCCCTTTATTACTTATGTGGAGGAAATGTAAAGAAACTACTGGTGCTAATACAACACGTACTTAAACTAATACAACACGTGCTAATACAACACGTAAATTAAAATAATTAAAATCGAATAAAAAATACGTTACCGATAGCGTTGGCACACAAATAGATCGAAAATTATATAATAGTAATAATTAAACATAATGGTATTGTAATATTCTACAAATATATAAAAAGATTCGTTTTTATTACCGCGAATGAAAATTAGCCGTCATAATCGCCTTTGGTTATCTGTGCGGCGTTGCGAAAATCGGTAAATCTGTATTTCATATTTATTTTAATAACTTCTAGAAGAATAATTTGTAAACTATAATACTATTACCATCTTTATAACTTTCCTCACCGCCAGAAAGGCCTCAAAACGCTTAAAATTGCGAAAATGAAGAACAGGATTTTCAAAGCGTGCGGCTAACTTTGGCGCCCAATTACTCAAAAAATACTCATATTTTCGACAAATTCAACATTATGTTATTTGAAAATCTGTGTTTGATAAACACATTTCATTTAAAACATTATTTCTTTTATTGTAGTTGTTGGAAGACGCCGTATTTTTTTTATTTTCGAAAAAAAGAGGACATTTAACGATCACCAAACCTACACCATTTTCTTGAATGTTTTTTAATCTATCCACCAATAAAATTTCATCAAAAAGCGGTTGTGCCGTATTTGGGAAAAAATTGTTTAAACAAAAATGAAAAATACCTATATTTTAGAAAAAATTACCCAAAAAATGCCCGAATTTTCGAAAAATTGAACATAACTTTATTTCAAAATCTATTTATAAGGAATAGATATAATAAAGGTAAAAAATCTCAATCTCTAATATTTTAGTTGTAAAAGGACGCCGAAAAGAATTTTGAATTTTCGAAAAATCAGTTTTCAACCAACATGAGACCTGCACCATTATTTTAAATTTCATTTAGACTATTCACCAACAAATTAAAATCAATATCGATGGTGCTATTTTTTAGAAAAAATTCCAGGTTCTTTATGTAAAGTTAACACACAAACTAACATATCAATTTCAAATTCAAGCGCCACGAGATCAACCAGATTGATCGTGAAATATCAATATTGGAGAAAATCAACTGAACAGTTTAGCTGCTAGCGTTGAACACAGACGGGTACACGGACGCACGGCCAGACGTTTGGCTATCAATCGACTTTTCGGTATCAAGAACCCACAAAACATGGATTCTTACTGATCCACGTGTTAAAGGATTGTTTTTAGTCTAAATTTAACTACTGGAATTATCCACTTTTTTGTTACCAGGGCTCAGTAATACAAGTTTGTCTTGTAAATTCGCGAGATTTTTGCGCAGCATTACATATCTTTCTCCTCTTAAGAAGTTCCTTCTTGAGCGCGAGAAAGTACAAATCTACGGTTCTCGAGGGAAAACATATTTATATTTCGAGCGGAATGTACGCCAAAGCTCCTTGGTTTTTGAAAAAATTGAATTTTTTTCAAGAGCTAATTTTGTTCAACAGACTTTGTCTGTGGCAAATATCTCTATCGTCAATTTTATAGTTTTCATTTTTCCCCCGCATATTTAAAAAAAACAGGGAATTCAACCAAAATGAGACCTGCGCCATCTATTATTTCAAGAAAAAACTTTAATAAAAAATTTCAACACTTTTTTAAAATGTTGAAAATGTATGAGAGACGTAATGTAATGAACTCCTCAAAATTAAAATATTGCTTTCAAGTTCCAGGGGCCGTGATATCAGCTAAAGTGGTTGGGAATATCAATTTTCGAGAAAATAGACTGAACGGTTTATGTGCTAGCGTTGTGCACAGCCGGACGGAGGGACGGACGGACAGACAAATGGGCAGTTGGACGTTTTGCCGTCAATCGATTTTTCGGTATTAAGGACGCACAAATCATAGATTCTAGCAGCACTACATGTTAGAGAACTTTTTTCCCTTTATTTAGCATCTGGATTTATCTACGTGTTCGTGTTTCGGAGTACGAATACAATTCTTTCTCTTCTTAAGTTACGAAATGTGAGAGAGTAAAATGCGGTGGATATAGGGAGAACACTGTGGTCAGATTCCGACAGAAGGCCAAATTTCAAGTCAAAGTGTAAGATGAAACGCCGGATTCCGACTTTGATATTCTACCCTGCCAGATTCGTTTCTAAGAAGCTAAACTATGAATGGCTCTGTTACTTCAAAGAATGAAATGTAAGGACACATTTGCATTCGTCCAAGCACCCGCTATCACATTTCAATGGCCATGGTTTAGTGTTTCTTCATTCTCGGAATCACTAAGTACTTTGATTTCCTCAGAAAGAAGAATAAATCTCAGACGGCAGGTCGCTAATGGCAAATTCTTTTTCCGACGTCGGTAATTTTTATTTCAAATTCTCAAACTTATATGTACTTCATACTCACATTCTCTCAGTCTCTTAAAATACGTAAAATACGAAATATATTAGCCCCTCGTAATATTACCTCGCTCTGTTTATAACGCGAATCCATGCGCGTGAATTGAGAGTTCGCAAACGTAATGCACTCTCATCTTCCAACATTTTTTTTCTTCATAAAAGTCGTATATCTTCAGAGTTATTCGAAATTAAATATTACATACACACACACACATATACATACACACATACAAACACATACATACACATACATACAAACACATACATACTTACACATATACACACGTATACATATACAAACATATACACATACACATATGTATACGATAGTGTATTTTTGTGTAACTAGTATCGCGTTTTCATAACGGAAATTCAACAATTTTTTTTCTAGTCATCAATTGTCAAAACCATAAAGTGAATAGCACTAACATTTTTTGCCCATTAGAATAATTTCTGTGGTGTCGTATTTGGAATTTGGTATCCTGAAGTGGCTGTATTCTTGCTCTCGTAGCTCGAATCTTTTGGTGGTGTCGCCATTACGAGACCCTTTCCCCGGGGGAAGTAGCAACAATATGCCATTCAAAGTTCACACCGAAATAAATTTCGTGAAAACATAAATTAACAAATATTCCCGTTTTCATACTTCTTTATCTGGAAAATGTATTTTTTTACATAACCTAGTACAACATTTATCAAAAAGATTGTAAAGAGACTGACCTAGAGCAGTAATAACCTGGTACTTATAACCAACATTTATTAATCAAGTCGAACAAGTCAAATATCGTCCTGCAAGTCGAACAAGCCGAGTTCGTCAGCAAGTTCAGGATCGTCATGCAAGTCGAGGATGTCCTGCTAATCGAACAAGTCGAGGATCATGCCAGCAAGTCAGGATTGTCTGCTATCGAACAAGTCTAGGAATCGTCCGCAAGTCGAACAGAAAGATGTCCGAAATCGAAAAGTCCGAGGATCGCCGTAAGTCGAAAAGTCGAGGATCGTCCTGTAAGTCGAACAGTAGACGTCGTCCTGAAGTCGAACAAGTAGACGATCGTCCTGCAAGTCGAACAAGATGGAGGATCGTCCTGCAAGTCGAACAAGTGGCAGTCGTCATCCAAGGATCGCAGCAATTCGAACAAGTGGAGGATCGTACAGCAATTCGAACAAGTGAGGATCGTCCTGCAAGTCGAACAAGTGGAGGATCGTCCTGCAGTCGAACAAGTGAGGATCATCTGCAAGTCGAACAAGTGGAGGATCGTCCTGCAAGTCGAACAAGTGGGAGATCGTCCTGAAGTCGAACAGTAGACGATAGTCTTGCAAGACAATGGGATCGTCCTGCAAGTGCAACAAGTGGAGGATCGTCCGCAAGTCGAACAAGTGGAGGATGTCCTGCAAGTCGAACAAGTGAGATCGTCCTGCGAACAATGGAGATCGTCCTGCAAGTCAAACAAGTGGAGGATCGTAACAGCAATTCGAACAAGTGGAGATCGTCCAGTCACAAGTGGCAAGGAATCGTGCAAATCGACAATCGAGGATCGTCCGCAAATCGAACAGTCGAGGATCGTCCTGCAATTCGAACAGTCGAGGACCGTCCTGCAAATCGAACAAGTGAGGATCATCCTGCCAAGTCAGAACAATGCCGAGGATCTCCAACCAAGTCGAACAAGTGAGGTTCGTCCAGCAAATCTACAAGCAAGATAGTCGAGCAAGTTAGAACAGGTCGAGGCATAGTATGTCACGGGCTGTGGTCATAATGGTATTTAAATTTCAGTCTATAGATTCATTAGTTCACCTACATTGGTTCTATCATAAGCAAGAAACTCAACAATCATTACTAATATACGTTGTACAAATCGCAAAAGAAGTATACAAATGTGGTAAAATTACAAATTGCAAATCACGTATAGGGACATCGATTGTATTTTACATGTAATGATTGCGTGTGGTATATAAATGCTCCAAAATATTATCGATAATGTAACTCAAAAATGTAAATGGGAGACCATGTCTCAAACAACAGGATAACGGGGGCCTATGCTGCAACATATGGGAACCTAGAATCAGGAGTTTCCAGAAGACAACCTAATTGATGGGTGGACAACTTTAAGGATCGGCATGATCGAAATTGGATGACAGGCTGCACCGAGTCATGGGCAAAACAAGCTGCATTGTGAAATTAAGGAAATGCCACCATAAGTGTTGTGGAACAATATAAAAATTAAAAGACAGCCAAATACATGCAATTCTTTTATTAGTGGTAATCAATACCAGATAACATGTGTGTAATTTATTCATTTACATAGATGGACTAAACCAAACTGCACGACCACAAACCCCAGTGAACTTCCTGGAAACCAGCAGGCCCTAGCCTTAAATTCTAATGGGTCATAATAAATATACGAAAAATATCGAAATTTAAATTGTGCATGAAATGAAAAAAATAATATCTATTCTGTAATAACTGTATTTATATAATGTTTTTACTTCAAATTCAGTTTCTAAATCCACAATTAAATTAAATGCTTCATTATAGCCCGATATTGTTCGCTCCTGAGGCTCTCTTTGTTGAACTTATGCCACCTCTTAGACGTATGTATATATATGTAAGAACACATTATCCACTTATATGATTTTCGGGACCAGAAATTCGTATTTTTATAGTGAAATACGGCATTTTTCTACACTTGCTCGTATTACTCCGTACGTGCTTTTTAGAGAAAGCAAGAAAACGAATTAATTTTGCCATTCGTATTAGAAAAAATTGTATAAAATCATTAAAAACATTAAAAAATTGGGTCATGAAACGTTGCCAAAATATCTCAAAAGTTACGAAAAATTTATTAATTTTCCCGACGCAAATCTTCATTTATTAAACAAAACAAATTTAACAGTAGTAAACATAAATTGAACTTTCACTTCTTATGCCTCCTAACATTCACGATAAAAAATAGTGTATTTTAGGAGCTGCAGTTCTGCTGCTTTATTGCCAAACTCATTGCTGTCGACAAGTGTCGTCGTATTGAGACTAATTAATGATCGTGCAGTCCTTCTCCAGAATTTGGATGTTTCCGCATCGCTCAACACAATCGTCATCGGAAGCTCCTAGAATTAATTGTTTTAAAATTCCGTTAAGGACAAAACAAGCACAAATGATACAAAGAAAAAACTCTTAAACATTTCCAGCAGA